TGATCCTGTTAGCTGTGTGATCCTGTTAGCTGCGTGGTCCTGTTATCTGTGTGGTCCTGTTAGCTGCATGTTCCTGTTAGCAGTGTGGTCCTGTTAGCTGTGTGGTCCTGCTAGCAGTGTCATCCTGTTAGTTGCATGGTGCTGTTAGCAGCATGATCCTGTTAGCTATGTGGACCTGTTAGCTGTGTGGTCCTGTTAGCTGCATGTTCCTGTTAGCAGTGTGGACCTGTTATCTGTGTGGTCCTGTTAGTTGCATGGTATTGTTAGCTGCATGGTACTGTTAGCAATGTGTTTCTGTTAGCAGTGTCGTCCTGTTAGCTGCATGGTACTGTTAGCAGCATGATTCTGTTAGCTGTGTGGTCCTGTTAGCTGCATGGTCCTGTTAGCAGTGTTGTCCTGTTAGCTGCATGGTACTGTTAGCAGTATGATCCTGTTGGCTGTGTGGACTTGTTAGCAGTGTCCTCCTGTTAGCAGTATGATCCTGTTAGCAGTGTGGTGCTGTTAGCTGCATGTTCCTGTTAGCAGTGTGGTCCTGTTAGCTGCATGTTCCTGTTAGCAGTGTGGTACTGTTAGCTGCATGGTATTGTTAGCAGTGTGGTACTGTTAGCAGTGTGGTCCTGTTAGCTCCATGGTCCTGTTAGCTGTGTGGTCCTTTTAGCTGCATGTTCCTGTTAGCAGTGTGGTCCTGTTAGCTGCATGGTACTGTTAGCAGTGTGGTAGTGTTAGCAGTGTGGTACTGTTAGCTGCATGGTACTGTTAGCTGCATGTTCCTGTTAGCAGTGTGGTCCTGTTAGCTCCATGGTATTGTTAGCAGTGTGGTCCTGTTAGCTGCATGATTTTGACTTTTATGACGGAGAGTAATTTCTGCACAAATGAATTCAGAGCAACAAAATGTATTAAAGTTTGAAATAAAGAGAACACAACAGAATTGTTATGTAAATACTGTATATAAAGTTGTACTTTGTTACATTTTGAACTTTTAAAAGAAGCATTGTTTTTATGATTATTAATATTAGTATTTTTATATATTAGGACAAAGGTGAAGACTAAACTGTTGTGAGGAAAGGCAAACTATCGTGTTCATCCTTTGATAAAATATATACAGTACACTGAACTATGTAGGTCTTTTTATGTATTTATGGGGAAACTATACATAATGTAAAGCTATTTGTTCCTAATAAATTATTAATTTGAGCTTTATGATTTATGCAGTTTTTAACATATTTAACAATGATTTTCTGACTTCTATATAAGAAGGGCTGACACTTTCATGTACCTTCACTTTTATGAGGTGTTATCAAAGGCAAGCCTTTATATCTATTGTTTATGATCAAAATGACTTATTGACACCTTATAATCGATTAGTCCTTCATGTATGAAAACTGAACGTTACTTCCCCTCAGCAGCTTGTCCATGTCTGTTAAGTGTTCACCTTTCTGGTGGATTTTAGAGAAAAATTACAAAACATGGCTGGATTAATGACTTAGCTAAGAGCTAATAGCATGAATGAAGAGTCTGTTTTGCTGCTTATATTGTTAGCACCGTTCTTTTAATTGTTTTATTCACAGGAAGTATACTAAATGTAGCATTTGTTTTTGTAGTATGAGTATAAATAATATTCACTCCATGTCAGTTTTGGTCAAAACTACAAAGAGTCTCTGTGAAAGGACCAAAGAGCCACGTGTGGACCCAGAGCCACACTTTGAAACCCCTGGTTTAGCTGGTCAAACTAACTCAACAGTGAACTTGTGAATTAGTTTAATGTCTATTTTTCATAGCTTTAAAAATCAGGCCGGCTCATAAAAGTAAACTTCTTAATAAAACTTCTAAGAACGTGTAGTTAATGTCCTATCACTCTCCTGTCCATCTGTGTGTAGGAGCACAGCGTGGAGAACGGTGGAGGCAGCCACGTGCTGTCGGAGTGTGACGACTTCAAACAGGGCCAGTCTCGGATCAGCCGGCTGGAGAGACAGGCCCGAGACTTCCTCAATGCTGTGTTCCACAGAAAAGGTAAGACAGACACCGCCCACAGTCCTGGTCGTCCGTCCACCTGTTCACATACTGATGCCATACAGGAGACATTTGAATTCCCTTTGATTGACTTCAGTGGGATTAAATTACAAACATTTTTACTGCACACAGTATATTTATTATGCTTATTAAATTTGATCCAGAATACCAAATGAACCACTTAACCAAAGCATTTTGTAACTGAATGTGATGCACCAGTTCTGAACCAGCCACATTTCAGTTGCTTCTTATTGCCACATCCTGAAAACTAGCTACTGATTTAGAAGATTACTGAACCACAACGCTCACTCTTCCTTCCATCACTGTGCTGATTTTGCCCAAGCAGGTCACTGTGGGATCCTTTATGCACAACTTGTTGGCCTGAGTTAAGAAAAGGAGTCAGTTTGGAAGTGGTGCGTGTCTCCTGATGTAATCGTCGTGTCACTGAGCTAAAAGGGGACAAAAATAAAAACCCTGCACCCTTTTTTAGTGTGCGACTGATGCAACACAGATATGTCTGTTCCAGGCACACTGATCTGTTTCAGGCAGACCGATCTGTTTCAGGCAGACCGATCTGTTTCAGGCAGACTGATCTGTTCCAGGCAGACCGATCTGTTCCAGAGAGACCGATTTGTTCCAGGCAGACCAATCTGTTCCAGGCAGACCAATCTGTTCCAGGCAGACCAATCTGTTCCAGGCAGACCAATCTGTTCCAGGCACACCGATCTGTTCCAGGCAGACTGATCTGTTCCAGGCAGAACGATCTGTTCCAGGCAGACCCATATATTCCAGGCAGACCCATATGTTCCAGGCAGACCCATATGTTCCAGGCAGACCGATCTGTTTCAGGCAGACCGATCTGTTCCAGGCAGAC